CCCCCCCCCCCCCCCCCTCACCCTCACATTCCCTTTTCGGCTGAGCAAGACCACACCTCCGGAACTTCGTTAGAGTCTGTTCTCAATGTAACTGGAAAACTTCGACCATACTCTACTCACCGCAGTACAGCAACACTAGAATATGACATACTCATGGTGTATAATATTCTGACTAATCGAATCGATCTTGACACTCGTAACTTTTATACTTTGACTCAATCCAAAACAAGGGGGGAGAGGTTCAAGCTCACTTTTCGTCAGCCACGTTCGTCGGTTGGGCGCAGGTTCTTCACATTTCGTGCAGGGATGGAGTATTTGAAAATGAGTAAACTAACTCCAATACCAGCATTCTTATCTACATTCAAAAGCAAGGTATCTCATTATCTGCGTTCCGTTCATTAATTTATGTTCTCCGTAGTTCATTTGTTTTTGCTTTTACTGTTTTATGGTTTTTTTTTATTTTCTCCTCTAATAATATAAGTTGTTAACATGCCAACAGCATGTAATAAAGTAAAGTAAGTAAGTAGAATATGTTGGCTTGAGAAATAAACCTTGGGAAATACCATGGGAACGAAACCTTCCACATCCCTCTAGAAAGCTTTTGTAAACATTCTGACCTGCATGGCCGATGAAGGTAGCCATCGGGGACTACAACCTACTCACTCCTCAATTTATTACTCATATTCCTTTTATGGTAACTCCGTATCCTTTTCCAAAACGAAACTGATTTGCAGGGATGGTCACCCCAAACAATGTGGACGACATTACCTCGTATGATCATAACACACTGATTTTTTATGTGAACGGTCATCGAGTGGAGGAGACTGGCATCGATCCAAAGACCACCCTAGCCGTGTATCTTCGAGATCACTGTGAATTTTCAGATAAGCCTTGCTTCTACAGTTATACAGGAATGTTATCCTGAGAAACCCTCAGTAGCATTAAGTTTCCGTGAATCTGTCCGAAAACATCGTAAAATTAACTAATTAGTATAGAACATATGAAAGCCACACCCTTAATTTTTTCTTCTAATAAAAAAGATTTTTTTCCTGAATGAAGTGGTTCTTTTTGAAATTACAAGGACGACTGGTTTGTGAGAAGTGATATGATGTTTTTGAAGACAGGTTTACTAATATTTCACTTTCAGTGCATCTGACCGGAACAAAAATCGGCTGCAATGAGGGTGGATGCGGCGCGTGTACGGTAATGATCAGCGAAATCAATCCTATCACCAATGAAATACGGTAAGGTCGAATACGGACAGGCGGTTTGTTGGGATACATAAAATGGGAACAGCTTCCCTCTGAAATTTGTGCTGTACCCCTTCAATCTCGCTTTTAACGTCCACATAAAAAGTACCCGTGAAGGTCGTTCATGCTCCTCTGTTCATGCTCGTTCTTACAGTTCTGTGAGTCATGATCCTCCTTACTTTACTCTAGGCACTACTCTGCGAACTCGTGCCTGATGCCAGTATGTGCTGTTTTTGGGAAAGCCGTAACCACGGTGGAAGGAATCGGCTCGGTCGTCAGCAAGAAACTACATCCAGTGCAGGAACGATTAGCGATGTACTCCTTTCAACATCCTTATTTTCTTACTCTGCAAACATTGAAGTAGTATACGAATTCTGATCGTTTACCGAATCTTTCTAGGACTCACGGTTCTCAATGTGGCTTTTGCACGCCAGGATTTGTCATGGCTATGTACGCTTTGTTGCGAAACAACCCTACTCCAACGGTCGCCGACGTGAATGAAGCCCTACAAGGTTAGCTTGTTTGTGATGTTCTTATAAATAGAAATGTCCTATTGAGTTGCATAGGATATCACTTTCTCGACTGAGAGTTGGCCTTAGCTCAAGAACCAGAACGAGCTTCTCGATCCCAACACAATCAAAACCTAGGGCTACGGCATGAATAAGGATACTACTAATATTAGTGATTGAGACTAGGTAATCGTACAGGAGTAGAGTAGGGGACTTCTGAACCAGTTAGGAATGGATTGCCATGATTCGCCCTCTTCTTTGAATTCCTCTCAATAAGCGATTCGAATTATTTACTTTTTTTATTTAGACTGATTGTCCTACCTGCTAGCTGAACCACCTTACTTTTATCCTTTTTCAAAGTTTTTACCATGCCAAAAACCCAGAAATTAAATCGATTCTTCCAATTGAAGAACTGGGAGCTTTTGGTGCACTCCATTCTCTCAGTGATACCTCTTGCTCCGAAACTGCGGCCAGCAGAACCATTCACGACCATTCACGTATTGACATCTTACTGAGGTAGCGCTGTAGTAGTAAACTCTGGGTATAGAAAATGCAAGGTCATGAACATTGCGTTAAAGATGTAATTTGCCATCAGGACGGTTTCGCAGATTGCAGCACGTCTTTCGAAAGTTGTGATATAACAACTGGCAGGGATAGCCGAATGCCTGAATTTGTGGGTTTGCGTGTGCACTCGAAAAGACCACGGGACCGATTCTTGCTGAGGCAAGGACTGTGCCTAGCAAAAATTCTAAAAAATGGTGTCGGTTCCAGCATCATACCCAGATCGATACGCGTTTGGTGGAGGACCTTGTTGCAAATTGTTACAAACCTTTTCAAAAGTTGCCAAAGGAATTAGAGTGAAAGCTGGACGTCATCGAAATGCAAGGAACACCTCTCGGGTTTTGTGGATAGTATGAGAGAGCTCCCATGAGTGAAAAAAGTGAACAGGGATCCTACTGCATAATCTTCTTCGATCTGGAGACGGCTCTGAACCGCCTCACACAGGAATTCCTATGGAAAGCAGTCCGAGGAGAAAACGCTCTGAACGCTGGACCTCCCCAATCATGAAAATACACTATTGGTCTGAGACGTTCACCCCTTCAGGCCTACAAGAGCAATAGGCTTGACGGTTGACGTAAACCAAAAATCAGCTCTGAACCGGTTTCTCTTCCTACCTACATTGGATGTTATTGGAAAGGGACGATTGGATGGACCACTGAAACCCATACGCTTATGACATCACTCTGATAGTGGAGAGTGGAAGTATTGCACGCAGGCTGCCCAACTGACCGAGATAAGGCCAAATTTCTCAATCCGGAGGATTGCGAAGAGCCTATTCTGAATTGGCTTGGGAAACCTGCAAATTCGAGTGCAGTATTTTTGATGTCTTTGGAATGACTTGACTGCGGACGGTAACATGAACCTGGTTGTAAATTTCGAAAAAGCGCGAGGCATGGATCTGATTGAAGAGGTCTCGTTGAATACTCTGAAATGAAGATGCTCCAGGACGCTACAGTACGCTAGGTTAAGGTGCGCTGGACAGTGTTGAGGCCCTTGATGCTTCACTGAAGCAAGTGCAGGCCTGTAAGTAAAATTACGAGAGACATTTTCACTCTGCTAAAATGAGAATGCTCAGGTGGGGTTGTGGTCGGACCGGGTCAAAAACTAGTTTGCACGAAGTGCGATTTGAACACCTGTACTCGTGCGAGTACCACAATGCTCGCTATCTCGCGACAGGCGTATGCTTGAGTCTGACGCCTCACAACTAGATTACTTGGCCACCGTAGTAGCGAAGTCAAATGCGCGGATTCAATTTTCCTATTCTAATTTCTTCTCAGTGTATAGTGTATGATCTCTACCCGTCAGTGTTGAATATTGTATCTTCCCGGTAAATAATCTGCAAATAATCAGTAACTGTAATCTTTACTCTAACCTGGGAATGTCCTTTAGGTAAAGCGTGAACGTTCACCTATCAAAAACTACATATTTTTATGTGAGCATTATTTTACTATATTTAAAGCTACTTTAAGCTACTTTAGGAAATCTCTGTCGTTGCACGGGGTACCGACCAATTTTGGAGGCGTTCTACAGTTTCACCGTTAATGACAACGGTGACATGAAGGTAAGAGTTGATAGCATACCAGTTCAAAATGATAAATCGCAGTTCAATTCAGGTGACCGAAACTAACGGCTGTGGTATGGGCGATAAATGTTGTAAGGTGAATAAAACCAGCTGTAGCAATGGTGAGGTTCGTCGAGTTATACTTATTCAGTTATACTCACTAAAAAAAATTAGAGAAGACCCAAACTCAAGGATTATGGACGAGATTGTAAGAATTACATGAGTGCCGCTGTTTTCCAGACAAATGGGTGTCAAACCAATGGCAACGCCAGTAATGGAAACGGCACAGAAGACGAAGAAATTCCAAAATATCGACAGGAAGTTGGTAATCAGATAAAAGGTTCTATCTAAGTATAAGAAAGGTTCTATCTATGAGGGAAGGGTTTGCAGAAGCTGAAGCTTACTGATCTTTCACATATGGCCGCCTACGATCCATCTCAAGAACTCATATTTCCGCCAGAATTAAAGGTGAGTTGATGCGGTTCTGGACATTTCAAAAATCCTATCCTTATCCTAGTATCCTTCCACCTGATACTCAAATCTTCCTTACCCAGAGCGCAACTGCCCTCGATCAGGTACGAGACCTTCGCGGAGAAGTTCCCCCACCCTTCCAAATAGAGTCCGAGCTCGTTGGGCGGAGCATTGTCGAAAGAATACTCAGAAGTTTAGCTATCTATATAGTTTCCCATCAATACCCTAGTGAACCTTTGCGCTAGTTCTTTTTGGAGTAGTAACGACTCCTTAAGCACGTAATTGCTAGGGCTTTTACCATTTGGGAAAGTTAGCAAATGTCCCAAAAGAAAACCTATCTTCGTCGCTGCAAGCCAACTATTTTTTCGAAGGTCAGGAAGGTTTCTTCAGCCGAAGGTACTCACAGTTGGTTGTCTTCAACGTGGATAGTAGGCAAAATCTTAAATCATAAATTTAATGTCACTGTAACCTATAGCTAAGCCATGAGCCACCTCGACGCTGATTCTTATTGACAATGAGTACTGTAATAAGTGAATATGTGAAGAATCAACCTCCACAATATCTCTTTTTCAGGTAAAGTCTCTGCACAAGTCATCTTTTGCATATCATCACCATGAAACAACGTGGTATCAACCTAAGACTTTCAGGTACTACGGCTTGGATGCAGTTCGATTTCGATTTTAATCAGAAATATATGTTGTTAAATCAATGCAACTTTAACAGAAGAGAATAATTGCGAGCACTTATATGTGAAAATTTTCTTTCAGGGATCTTCTCGAGTTGAAGCGACTCCATCCATATGCACGATTTATATCTGGAAATTCGGAGCTGGCAATCGAACTTAAATTCCGATTTATTGAGCTGAAAATCGTCATTAATCCTCGTCAGGTACTGGAGTATTTTAATTGTGAACGAATATCCGATTTACCCTTCATGAACGCCGTCATAANGATCACTCCGTTTGTCATGGGAACGAGCCTGCCTCACGGTGAAGAGATAGTCAGCACCGTTTAGTAGATGCTTTGCCTAGCTGTTACTCTATGGCGGTTGTGCCCAACGTCGTCAACAGAGATCCTATCAGCTGTATGCCATACACGAGGAGGACTAGATGTAAAAACTGACCTATTCACAAGGAACACCTTGTTGAAAATTCAAACAGTTAGTCATGACCCACGGAGAGAACAGATCGCAGTTCCGGAAAACTTCAGCCCGATGTGGTGACCTATTTACGTTATTTTGGCAAATGGAATCTCGCCCAAAGATGCTTCCATGCCATTTCGGTCATGGTGACCTCGTACATCCTCTAGTTCACTTCTTTGGGGGAACTTATTTTTGCGAATTGGGCTGATTTTCTCGCTTTCTTTGCCACCGGCGCACTCATCCCTCCACCAATTTTCTGAACTGACGAAGGGTACCTCATACATATAACTATAACTGTAACTATCGAGAGTGCGACAAAAGCTCTAGGATCAAAGAAAACGCAATCAAGTTGAAAGAGAAAAAATGGGCATTTGTTTTTTCTAAGTCAAATTCTTGTGGAAAGAGTGTGAACGCAAGTCACACACACCCACCTTCATCCCTGTAAGCCTTGCCAAGAAGAAATATCAACCCTGGTCGCTCCAAGTTATCGTTCTGGAAAATCAGTTTTGCCTGAACCCCTGAAAAGACTTTTGTCCTAGCTTCCATAATGTAACACAAAAATGATGAAGGTCAAGGTTTCTGGCGTCTGAGGGATGCGCCCCCGCATTACACTATCATTCAGAATCGCAGTAGCAGATTGAATGCGTATATGGCCGCCAGTAAATGAAGGTTTGGCAGTTTTAGCGGAAATGTTAGTGGGCTGTAAAAATCGAACTGAGGTATGAAGCTTTTAAATGATTCAAAGCAATTTAGGTACCTGATCTACATGAAGTGCGACTGGACGACGACGGAGCATATATGGGCACAGCTTTGAGCCTCACAGAAGTTGATAACTACCTTGTCAAATACATGGAAAGTCTACCTGGTGAGGTGAATTCTTGTGCGTATAACTTCAAATCCAGGGGAGAATGGATTGTAATATAGGGTTTTCCCTTACATTCTCCCTCCCACTGAGCAAGCTGTGCAAAAACCCGAATTCCTCTTGTTCACTCTTGCTTGCAAATTTCGCATTTTAGGGGAACGATGTGGAGTGTTCCGAGCAGTTCATGAGATCATGCATTGGTTCGCTGGAAAGCACGTAAGGAATGTGGCTGTGAGTTATTGAGAAAGCGAACTTCCATTCAAAATCCTTGCATTCATTGCATTTTTTGAAGCAAGTTTAATAAGCTCTTCATCTCTGCTTCTTCCAGGGAGTTTACCAATATTTTCAGTCAATCGCGGGAAATATCGTCACTGCCTCTCCCATTTCCGATCTGAATCCTATTTGGATGGCAGCTGGTGCAAAGGTAGGACCGTTCTCGTCCTCCATCCTACCGGACTCTTTTGAAGTCCATCGCAAACTCTTGATGGATTTCGCAGTTCTTCATAGAGGGCCCGTTATCATATTCAGCATATGTTCGTCCGTTTAGGTGGTTCTAGAGTCCAATGAACGTGGAATGCGTTCTCCTGTGATTGACGAGCACTTTTTTCTCGCGTACAGAAGAGCTGCTGTGGAGGCCGACGAAGTCGTGAAAGCTGTTGTCATCCCTTTCACTAAGAAGGTGGCTTTCAAGTTAATTAGTAAATGGATCTCACCAACACTCATTTGAAGAATCGGTCAGGCTTTTGGCTATTCTATTACTCTGAGTTGTGAACTTGCATTCAACTCCTTTTCCGAATTGTATTATAGTTCCTCTTGAATGTTTCGAAAGGTATTTCTGGGTGCCAGCCGGGGGTGAAATAAGCACTGTGATCGTATCAGACACTTTCAGTACCATAAAGCCGGCATCAAGAGGAAGAAGTCCTCTGTTCCCCTGAAGACCTGAGACTTGTGGCAATGCAGACTTGGTTACTGGGACATAGGCTCTACAGTCACAAATGGTGGCCCTACCCCACCTCTGTCCCTACGGCATACGGTGCCACTTTGCATTAGGGTATCTCAAAATTATTCACAAGCATGTTCAGAGAACAGGGAGCAGTAGCCTTTCCAATGATCAAACATGTAGCAGTCTACCGATCATTCTCTTCTTTCCTTCATGGCTAATGCCTTCAGAACCAATATTTCCGTGTGTACAAGCAAGCCCAACGCCGCGAAGACGACATCGCTATTGTAACAGGAGCATTCAATGCCGTTGTCGATCCGAAAACGCTCACTGTCGAAGAGATCCGAATTTCCTTCGGCGGTATGGCTCCAACAACGAAGCTCGCCCTTGCCACCATGAAGCATTTGAAGGGGAAGTAGGTTTTTTTCCTTACTCAACATTCCATGCTCCTTTGCTGACAAAAAGACCTCATTTCAATTTTTCAGGAAATGGAGTAAGTCTCTGCTTGATGAGGGAATCGACCTTATAGCAAAAGAGTTCGTGCTACCGGCAGGAGTTCCGGGAGGAATGGCCCGGTATCGACAGGCTCTCACACTCAGTTTCTTCATGAAATTCTTCCTTGAAGTGGCTGAGGCGCTGGATGTAAGTTGGACATGTGCTCCTTTTCGTGTCCAAAGTGAGTTTGACAAAGAAAGGGAAAATTTCAGCCGGGAAAGTAGGTAACATTGGGGGGCATTGAGCCATTTATAGGCCTAGGCTCATTCGAGCGAGTAGTGTTCTCATATGAAGCAGGAAGTGAGCTCACGTTCCTATCGCCTTTTATTTGAGCAAAATCGGGAGCGCAAGGTTTTGCAACTCAGTATTCCATACAGGGTTGCCTAGGAGATGAGATCGAGCTTGTAGATCCAGTAAGCCATGATATACTTACACTTTCAGACCAAAAATGTTGACAACAGACACGAAGTTATCAGGATCGGTCAAGATGTACCTGATGGACTCATTGCGACTCAACTGTACCAGGTGATATAGTTCTCTTTACATCTCTTGAGGAACAGTAAACGAATATGATTTTAAGGAAGTACCAGCAGATCAGAAACTGCATGACCCCGTTGGCAGAGCAATTGCTCATGTCTCTGGGAGGAAGCACGTTACTGGAGAAGCGATCTACTGTGATGACGTTCAAGTGGCCAGTGGGTTTCTCACCATTGAAGAAGTTAGGGTTGTCAAAGACTGTGGGGTATTTTTCGAATGCTTTAGACTGCCTTCATATGGCATTTGTAATGTCTCCAATCGCCTGCGGCACACTCGAGTCAAAGGATTTCTCGGAAGCTCTCTCTATGGAAGGGGTCGTCGGATACATCGACGCCGAAGATGTGCTCAAAGGGATTCAGATCGGTCATCACAACGATACGCCAGTGTTTGTGAAGGATAAGGTAAGCTAAGAAGGTCACTGTGAGTCTCGAACATTACGAGCGACAAGCTTAAGACTGAACAGCTTGATTTGTTCCTGGAAAAACTCATACTTCCAGATAACCTATCATGGCCAGCCTATAGCGGCCATCATCGCACAAGACCATGAAACAGCTCGACGTGCAGCTAATGCTGTCAAATTGGAGTACACCAGGGATAAACCTATCATTTCTATCGAGGTANCGAATGCTTTAGACTGCCTTCATATGGCATTCGTGATGTCTCCGATTGCCTGCGGTACGCTAGAGTCAAAGGATTTTTCTGAAGCACTCTCTATGGAAGGGGTTGTCGGATACATCGACGCTGAAGACGTGCTTAAGGGCATCCAGATCGGTCACCGCAACGATACGCCTGTTTTTGTAAGGGATAAGGTAAGCTGACAGGAATCATTGTAAGTCTGGAACATTACGAGCGATAAGTTCAGACCGAACCCTTGAAACGTACGTGGAAAAACCTACACTTTCAGATAACCTATCACGGTCAGCCTATTGCGGCCATCATCGCACAAGACCATGAGACAGCTCGACGTGCAGCTAATGCTGTCAAATTGGAGTACACCAGGGATAAACCTATCATTTCTATCGAGGTACAATGCCTAGACGAGTTCGTGCTTGGGTAGCGGTGAGCCGCGCTCATTGAAGTCAGACGATTCTGCTCCTAAGTGAAGCCTTCTTTGAGGATGCGATTAAAGCGGACTCGTACCTCATGCAGCCGCTTGTCATACACTCATCATTACTGGAAAACGAAACAGTGGTAAAGAATGACTGGAGCACTTATGATCATGTCATCGAAGGAGAAATCAATATGGGTGGACAAGTCAGTCCATTTATGGTCTTACTTGCTTACTATTTGAGAGATCGAGACCATAACTAGGCCTCCAGCACCTAGCTTATGTTGCGCGATTCTTCTACCCCAAGGAATCCGCAAAAAATTCTGTTGATAAGCGATTCAATTTCTTTATCTGTTGCCTGAACTGCTCAGATTTCAGAGATAAGTTAAGTTTATGAGCAATTTTAGAAGTGTGTGCTTTCTGAGAAGTAATTTCATGAATGTGTTCGGGATAGGTTTAGGCGCTACATATCCTAACAGAAGAAGGTAGAGGCCTCCTTCTTCTATCCAGCCTGAGTAATCTCCCAGTTAAACATCATTCAGCTACTGTTCTTTTTTTTCGGTTCGGAACATGATTTGAAACAAAAGAACATCGATGTTGCTTCTGCCATTCTCTGGACCTATACTCCGAAAATTTTCAAATCCTGACGGACCACGACTTCCTGGGGGAAGAGCATTGAAGAAGTACTTAAGCTTCAGACAAAAAAGGAAAAACTAGGACCAAAAAGGAGGACCAGGGTAGCCTGATTTCTATTTGAACCAAGTAACGAAGCTTAAAAGCAAAAAACCCCTCATGTATCGCAAGACAGGGCGGAGAGGTGCAGTGGTAAGTGGCGCACCATCTCACACGCACGGTCAGGAGTTCGAATCCCGGATCGATATCCGCCTAGCCCAACCAAGGATTCCATCCCTCTGNACGCATTCATTACGCCACTACAATTCTGAATGGAAGTCGAGTGCGGGGTGCATCCCTAAGACGGGATTGATTAACGCCAAAAACTTTATCCTCTATCGCAACACTTATGCATCAACCCAGTATAATGTGAGTGTGGACAAACGTGTTGGTTTTCATATCAATTTATTCAGAGCACAATTCCAGGAGCACTTCTATCTCGAAACGCAACAATGTGTCGTAATACCACATGAAGACGATGAACTCGAAATTATATCAAGTTCACAGGGAATAAATGACGTTCAGGTGCAGTGTCTTGACGCTATTTGCAAATAATGCACTTTTATGAACAAATGCCTTCTTTTATTGGAAAGAATCACGAAAAACAACAAACATCTTTGCAGATGGAAGTATCAAAATGCCTTGGAATTCCTGCCCACAAAATCATTGTGAAGGTGAAACGAATCGGTGGTGGTTTCGGAGGCAAAGAAAATGCCTGCTCCTTGCTATCTGTTCCTACGGCGATTGCTGCGCGGAAGTAGGCGTTGTGGAGTGTTTTAAAGGCACAGATCACGATAATCTTGAGCTAACCTCTCTTATTAAAAAAGCGGAAGTATAGATTGGGAATGGTTTATCGGTAGTGGAGAAAGCGAGAATATATGCCAATTTCGAGAAAAATAAGGCTCCTCAAAAGTAGGGAAAATAAAGGTTGGACAGACCAGTATGACGGAAATAACATGAAGGGGGTATTCGGACGAGATTTCAGTCATTACAATTTCACAAAGAGCTGACTACATCAAGCCAGAAATGTACAGAACTGCCTTCACTGTCGCTATGGGTCACAGTAAGTTGCTTGAGCCTCCTACATGGTTTCCTTGTGATCGGTGCAGCCCCTGCAATGCTGGTGAAACTCGTCCGAGGGTTCACACGATACAATCTTTGAGTATTTATAACTCCCTAACTAGGCCGTTTTCGACTTGGCAGCGCCAGGTATGGTATACGAGAGGGCCTCGATTTCAAATTTTGCTCAATGTCAGAACCCATTTTTATCGTGAACTGTGACTTTGAATACAATTCTAGCTAAATTCAACCCCCATTTACAAACTTGTATTCATTACAGGTTCAGAAAACCGGTACGACTAACACTGGAACGTTACGATGATATGGCAATAAGTGGAACAAGGCATCCATTCAAGTTCAACTACAAGGTAAGGCCGAAAGTAAACGGCTTCGGAGAGTTAGCACTCGTTGCCTGCAATTCACTTCGGTGATCAAGGTTGTCCTGTTTCTGGATCTGCCAGATGGTGCAACGCCTCCCTTAGCTTCACTCCGAGGGATTGAAACCAAGACTATGGCAATCTCGAACACACTAGAAAGACCACTGACTACGATTTTCAATAAACAACACATAGCAGAACGAATCATTCACATCTTCTAAAAAGATTTACACAGTGCTGGCGAGCGAGAGAGATATAACAGTCTACTAAACATAAAGAATTATCAGTCTCCAACTTCTCTCTTGCTTTAACCTCGGCATAGATGTTTCTGGTTACAATAATCTTGTGCCGTGCAAGGTTGTTAGGTGGAACTTTTATTAATCACAACGGCCTAACGTTTCGACGTTCTCGTCGTCTTCAGAGGGCTAAAGCAATTCGAGACATTTGCACAGTATCCAAAAAGCGCA